AAAAAAAAATCCAAGACTCTGAATTCAGATTCCTTTCACTTGTATCTTTAAATTCCTGATCCACTTTACAGAAACAATCTAGAAATTCTACATGATGCATTATATCTGTGGTTTCTGTAAGAAAAAGTAAGAAACTCCAGTTTTCATACTTAATAAGAAAGTAGCTCAAATCAGAAGATGACCAGGGTAAATCCTCTGCTTTAACTGCTTTTTTTTAGGCTTATGCATAATAAGATATGTTATGCACTCAAAAAGTTTCATGTCTAAGAACCTGGTGATAAGGTTTTCTCTCTTCATGTTACTTTTAATTAACATTTCCAAACATACAGAAATGTAGAGAGATATTACAATGAACACTTTATGTTCATCACATGAACACTTTATGTTCATCACCTAGATGTGTCAGATAACATTTTACCATGTTTGTGCCATCTTTTTTTAAGTTTTTTAATTTCACCTATAAGTACTGTAATATGCATCAATAATGACTTTTTTTTTTTTTTTTTTACCAGAGCCACATTCCATTAACATCTTAGCAAAATTAAGATGATCCTTAACAATAATCCTTTGGATTACACTGTTACAAAGTTTAAAAGCCAGGTCTGGAATTGTATGTGTGTACATTTCCAGCCCTAAGCTGGAGGATAACAGTCCGCTTGGATCTTGTATACCATGCAGGCATCTCAACCTCATGAGCAATACCAAACGCAGTTGGTATTTTCCACTCTATCCCCCATATCATCTAATGTTACTCAAACTAGAATTCAGGGAGCTATTCTGAATCCCTCTCTGCACAGCACACGCACTAAAAACTTTTTGTTTATTTGAAGTTCACATTTTACTGGCATTCTGTATTTTATCTGGAGGACTCACGCTTTGGGAAACATAGCTCAGCTGGTGCCTCTTCAGTTCATCGTCCCCTCTCAGAGGTTTTCCTAAAACCGACCTCAAGTCTCCTTGGTGCGCTGCTGTACTTGTTACCTACGCAAGAGATGAAAGAGCTTTGCCTAAGCGGCTAGATTCTGAAAGCAAGGAAATCGTCAGGGCTCAGTAAACCTTGAGCAGACAGGAACCCGGAGGANACTCCGCGGCTCTGCACTTGACGGCACCTTTTGCAGCGGTTGCTGTGAGTGCCGTAAAGCTGCTTGCCGCCGCTCCTGTTGAGTGAGGTAAGATGTGGGGGAGTCGGTTCAGTCGCTGGGGATGGGCAAGCGCCTTGGGAGAGGTATCGCTTGTGGCTCGGGTGCCCTCGCCGGGCATCTCTCAGTATTCTGGGCACGTGCCCTCCCCTCGGCGGAGAGGCGGCTGAGGCCTGTCACAGGCTGGGCGCGCTCCGGACGGGGTGCTCCTGAGTCAGGCCACGAGCGTGTCGTGGTAGACGTCCACTCGGCCAGTCCTTCTCTGCTTCTGAGCGTGTCAGCAGGTAAAACCCTCAACCTGGGACAGGTTCAGGTTTGGAGGGCGATCGAGACGCTTGTCGGAGCCGGGTTGGGGAAGCGACGTTGGAGCGGGGTCGTGAGCCGTCTTGGAATTTGCGAGGGGAATCTGTGGGGAGAGCGTTTCAGATTGTGGGACCAAAGAATGCGTGGGCACAGAAGCATGGAAGGAACTGCCAGGTTTGGGCGGCACTGAATGCATATTTGGGTCGTGGCTGGAGGAATGAGCTCACGGGGAAGGGTAGGCAGGAATGTGGCGGGAG